TGCTGAATTTGTGTTATTTGGCTATCACATTTAATGAATTCTAGTTCTTTGAACTATAAAATTTACTTTTAAAAATCACGTGACAGAAAATAGCATATTATAGGATCTATAAAGTTTGAAACTACTGTATTGTATTCAAGAAACAGTGTCCTCAGGTAGAAGCGTTGGATTAAGGTTCAGAAGTGTGAGTTCAAGTATGGGTTCTATTAATTACAGATGTCATGTCCTTAGGCAAGTCAGTAAACCTCCTTGAGCCTCAGTTTCTTTATATGTAAATGAGATGGTAATATCTCCATACCTATGCTACAGGACTGTTTTGGAGGACCAGATAGAAAATGTAAAGAGAAGATTCTCAGTAAACTCTAAAATACCAACATACCCATATAAGTTATACTGGTTGCAGCTAGAAAAAGATTGACTTGATAAAAAAAAAAAAAAACAACAACAACAACAAAAAACAACTTCCAACAAACAAAAGCCCTGGACCAAATGGCTCTACAGGGGAGTTTTATCAAACATTCAAAGAAGAAATGAAACCTATCTTCCTCAGACTATTCCAAAAAAATTCAAGAGAAAGGAACAATTCCAAGCTCTTTCTACGAACCAGCATGACTCATATCAAAACCAGATAAAGACAGTGAAAAAAAGAGATAATTATACGCCAATATCCCCCAGGAATATAGACGACAAAATTCTAGCAAATCGAATACAGCATTACATAAGAAAAATACTATACCATGACCAGGTGGAATTTATTCTGGGGATGCGAGGATGGTACAATATCCACAAATCTCTAGACAAAAGATAAGCAAAGCAACAGCAATCATAAAGGATTCAGGATCAGATGACATCCTTAGAACATTTCACCCCACAACTAAAGAATATACATTCTTCTCAAGCTCACATGGGACAGTATGATACACCACATAAATGAACTGAGAGATAAAATCATATAATCATATCCATTAATGCAGGGGGAAAAAAAACATTTGACAAAATCCAACTCCCTTTCTTTAAGACCACATTTTGGGACCCAGATGAAGTCTTTCAAAATTCAAGCTGATTGAAATCATATCATACACCTTCTCAGATCACAATGGCATAAAATTAGAAGGAAAGATCATACCACAATATCATAAAAGCCATATATGACAAACCCAGCCAGCATCATACTCAATGGGCAAAAACTAAAAACACTTCCCCTAAGAATGGGAACAAGACAGAGATGCCCACTACAACAATGAAAACACAACAATATAAAATCCTTAGGACACAGTGAAAGCAGTCCAAAGAGAGAAGTTCATATCCCTACATCAAAAAAAAAAAAAAAAA